GTCTGGAGCGCCCCTGTCTGGGGAGCCTGCCCGGAGGCCCCCGCGGACAGCGCTGCCCGCCTCCGTGAGGACGGCCTGGCGGTGGCCTGCGTGGGGGCTGGGAGCAAGGCTGTGTCCGGCCTCGGCGGAGGAGGCCGCTGTCCAGGCCTGCGGTGGGGCGCGAGGCAGGGTGCTGGGCCCCGCTCCCGCTTGGGGGCGCTGGCCGGGGGAGGAGCAGATGCCTGCAGTGTCCAGTGGAAGCCTGTGGCAGAATTCACGTCTGTAGATGCATCTTTAAGGGTGGATTTTGTTTAAAAAATCTGAGCGCGCCGGAGGCCTCGTGTGTGGAGGGGTACCGGCCGCTCAGCCCCCCGCCCGCGCGGCGTCCACTCCCCGGAGGACCCTCCGGCCTCGCTGCCCCGCGGCGTGAGTGGACACCCAGGCGGCGCCTCTTACTGCGTTTTATACGATAGAGTGTAGTTTACAGAGAGGAAACTTTGAAAAAGTTGTCTACATGCAAAACTGTAGGTGATGCAAATGATGTATTTTTTTTTCATCTTTTTTGTTAACTGATTTGCAATAAAAGTGACGTTGACGGTCATCCAGCCTCGCCGGCCGTGGCCTGGCTCCCTTTCTGGGGGGGCGGTGGGTCCCTCTGCGAGGGGCGCGGAGGGTGGCGGGGCCTGGTCTCCCCAGTCCCCACGGGCGGCTGGGAGGCCCCCGGGGGCGGCCCCAGGTCTGAGCCCCAGATGCCCTGCCCCTCCCCAAGCGGGGTGCCCCCCCCCACAGAGGGGCCTGGGAGGAGCCCTCTGGCCTTTCCTCACCCCATCTGGGCGCGTGGGGGCCTGAATCCTGCCCAGAGGCACCCAGCTCCCCCAATTCCACTCGTAGGGCGTGCCCACAGGGAGCGGAAGTGGACTTAGGAGGGCGGGGGCAGCTTCGCGGCGGCCGGCGGCTGTGGGCAGCGGCGCACCCTGTCCCCGGCGGGGCTCCGGCCCCGCCGCAGTGTTCGCGGTCGAGGCGACGCTTTGAGTCGGAAGACACGCGAGGTGGATGCCCCACGTGTGGCTGGACCCCTCCCCAGGTCAAGGGGGACCTCGAGCCAGGACGGCGCTGGGACCACGACGCAGCTGCCCGGTGGGGCACCGGGGCCAGCGGAGCGTCCCA